AATGATGTTTACTTTGAATTTATATTAGTTCACACAAACACTCCATCCATGCTTTTGTTCCGGCCCTCCGGTCCAGTTTAAGAACCCATTGTGGCCCTCGAGTCAAAAAGTTTGCCCACCCCTGCTCTAGAGCAATGGAAATTAAGGGGAAAATAAACAAATAGGACTACATCAAAATAAAAAGCTTCTGCACAGCAAAAGTAACCATCAACAAAACAACAAGAAAGCCCACCACATGGGAGAACATATTTGCCAATGCTATTTCAGATAAGGGTTTAATCTCCAAAATTTACAGAGAACTCATACAACTTAACAAAAGAAAGGTAAACAATTCAATCAAAAAATGGGCAAAGGACCTAAATAGACACTTTTTGAAAGAGGACATACAAAAGGCCGAGAGACATATGAAAACATGCTCAAAGTCACTAATTATCTGAGAGATGCAAACCAAAACGACAATGAGGTACCATCTCACACCTGTCATATGGCTATCATCAACAAATCAACAAACAACAAGTGCTGGAAAGGATGCGGAGAAAAAGGAACCCTTGTGCACTGCTGGTGGGAATGCAGATTGGTGCAGCCACTGTGGAAAACAGTATGGCATTTCCTCAAAAAACTAAAAATGGAACTCCCATTTGACCCAGTAATCTCAGTTCTAGGATTATATCCCGAGAAACCAGAAACACCAATCAGAAAGGATATATGCACCCCTATGTTCATAGCAGCACAATTTATTATAGCTAAGATTTGGAAACAACCTAAGTGCCCATCAGCAGCTGAGTGGATTAAAAAACTGTGGTACATCTATACCAGTGGTTGGCAAACTCATTAGTCAACAGAGCCAAATATCAACAGTACAATGATTGAAATTTCTTTTGAGAGCCAAATTTTTTAAACTTAAACTATATAGGTAGGTACATTGTTATTAACTTAATTAGGGTACTCTTAAGCTGGCCTTTGCTAAAGACGTCCTCAATCTGATTGAGGTACGTTCGCTGAGGTCGACCCCTTCCAACTCTCCCATCCACACTCACCTTGTATACTTGTTTCGTCTATCTCCTTTCATTCATCCTCTCTATATGTCCAAATCATCTCAACATACCTTTCTCAATCCTCGACACTACATCTTCTTTCACTCCACAACGTTCCCTAAAATTAACTTAATAAACTTTACTTAAAGTTTTAAGTCTTTTTTAAAAAAATATATTTTATTGATTTTTTTACAGCAGGAAGGGAGAGGGATATAGAGTTAGAAACATCAATGAGAGAGAAACATCAATCAGCTGCCTCCTGCACACCCCCTACTGGGAATGTGCCCGCAACCAAGGTACATGCCCTTGACCAGAATTGAACCTGGGACCCCTCAGTCCGCAGGCCGACGCTCTATCCACTGAGCCAAACCGGTCAGGGCTTAAAGTTTTAAGTCTTAGTTAAACTATAGGTACGTTGAATAAAACTTGATATCATACTTAATAACAATATTATTTATTGATAAAATTAAATTCCTTACAATTTACCTTACAATTCCATAAAATTAAATCATGACAATGACTGACAAACACTAATGTGAACAATGGCCTTGCATCTCCTTGGAAAGTTTGGGTAAGTCAGGTTTGTATATTGTTTTTAATTTTAGGCACGATTTCAGGTTCTCATCAATAAGACGACTTCTCAATTTACTCTTGATAAGGTTCATGCTTGAAAATGATTGTTCGAATAAATATGTAGACCCGAATAAGGAAAGAACAGCAAACGCTAGTTTTTTCAGTTGATTATATGAGTTAGGAATACTATTCCAAGTGTTAAAAATCAACATATCTTCCTTCTCCAGGTCTGCTTTTTTTCAAAGCAGACCACTTGTTCTGTGAACTAAGCTCACATTTGTTTTTCTCCAATATTTCTATATCAGCACAAAGACGTTCAAATTTCGAGCTCCACAGTTCTTTGTTTTTTAAACCCAGCAATTGCATTTCAAAGTTGCCAATGTCAATATTAAAGGGAGAAAAATTTAATTCTGTTACAGTAGCATTGAGAGGTTTTTTAACAAAGGCTAACGTCGCTTTGCTGTTTCTGAATTCCTGAAACCTGTTGAGAAAAGCTTCCCTCATATTTAAAAGTGTTGTTTTGAAATAGCAAATGTCAATATCAGAATTATTTTCTTGGCGATGTTTCAACAGGCTTGGAAAGTGAATCAAAGTTTCTCTTTCAAAATCTTGAGCAAAAAGAGATCATTTGTTTTCGAATGAAATAACTTCTTCTAACATCGAAAAAACTGTGTTTCCTTTCCCCTATAGTTTGCGATCAAGCTGATTTAGATGAGACTTAACGTCTACCATGAAATAAAACTTTTGGATCCACTGATGGTTCGTTAGTTCTGGATAGTGAACACCCTTCTCAAGGGGAAATGCTTTAATTTCTCGTAATAAGGAAGCGAAACGTTTCAAAATGTTTCTTCTTGATAACCAACTTACCTTGTTATGTAGCAGAAGATCTGCGTACTCACTCTCCATTTCAACTAAAAATTCTTTAAATTGGCGATGATTAAGAGCTTTAGCTATAATGGAGTTGATAATCTTAATCACCAATTCCATAACTTTGCAAATTTCTTCTGGAAATGTCTGCGCACACAGCACTTCTTGATGAATGATGCAATGGTAAGTAAGTATCTCGTGATTAATTTTTTCTTTCAAAATAGCAACAAACCCGTTTCTTACGCCAGTCATACTTTTTGACCCGTCTGTTGAAATTGAGACAATTTTATCGAGTGGAATATGATGTTTTTCAATGCACTCAATTACAGCATTTGCTATATCCTCTCCACGTGTTTGACCTTTGAGTGGCAATAATCCTAAAAGTTCTTCTTTAGGACCTGTAGATGAAATAAATCGTACAAAAAGTGAAACTTGTGCTGTATCATTTATGTCACAAGACTCGTCAACTGCTATTGATAAAGCTGAAACCAATTTAAGATCTTCGACTTGCTGGTTGGTTATATTCGAAGACATTTCGACTGTTCTATCTTTCACTGTTTTAGCGGACAATGGTAACTCTTTAATTTTTTTTAGAATATCTGCTTTGTTCTTAAAATCCCGAAATAGCTCTTCGGATGCATTTATAAAACAACTTTTTATGTATTCGCCGTCTGTATATGGTTTTCCTCTCTTAGCAATCTCCCGACTAACCACAAAACTTGCAATATTAACATTGTTGGAAGATTGCATCCAGTAATTAAATACAGAATTTGATTTTTCTTGACTCTTCTGAAGTTCCTCAACTGTTTTCTTCCTTGCATCACCGACAGGATATTTAGTACTAAATGACACGTGTTTAGTTGTAAAGTGTCTCTCCAAATTTGATTTCTTGTTATGCGCCAATTTTTCCTGACAAATAAGACAGGTCGGAAGGCCAGTTAAGTTTTGAATAAATGCGAAAGTCTCGGTCCATTCAATTTTAAATTCACGGTTTTCGTCTTCCGTTTTTCTTTGCTTCTTCTTTGTAGCCATGTCAAACAGGGCACCTAAAAAATGTTTCATTTTATAATAATAAAGCCACCAACACAAAATAATTACAATTCTTAAATTGATGACAAAAATACCTGTAGGATTTGCAGCTGGTTGGAAAAATACAGGTAACTTTATGCTTCGAGTAGGTACTTTTGTCACCCGCGAGCGATTTGCGGACGCGACTAACACTAACCACTGCACATGAGACTGCTGACTGACTGGCTCACTCAACTCGTGCATGAATTGTGCACGCCTCCCGCTGCCCGCCTGTGCCACGTCTCCCGTAGCCCAACTGACCAACACCCCCCACTTCTTCTAACGCCACTTCTTCAAAATAGATTCACCCAGGCCAAAAACCGACTTCTGCGCATGGGCCATGAAGTTTCAATCGCACTGTAGTGAGCGCCCGCATGTGGTATTTTGTGGAAGAGCCACACTCAAGGGGCCAAAGAGCCGCATGTGGCTCATGAGCCGCAGTTTGCCGACCACTGATCTACACAATGGAATACTATGCTGCTATAAAAAAGAAGGAACTTTTACCATTTGCAACAGCATGGATGGAACTGGAGAGCATTATGCTAAGCGAAATAAGCCAGTCAGAGAAAGATATAAATATCACATGATCTCACTCATATGTGGGATATAATGATCAACATGAACTGATGAACAAAAATATAACCAGAGACAGGGGTAGGGGGGGAGGTTAGAGATCAACCAAAGGACTTGTATGCATGCATATTAGCAAAACCAATGGACACAGACACTGGGGTGGTGGAGGCTTGCCCTCGTGGGTGGGAGTCCTGGGGGGGGGGCAGTAATCAGTGAAAAAGGAGACATATGTAAAACTTTAAACAATAAAAAAATGAGGATAGCTTAACGGACCTTTGGAACAACTGAAGCATAAAAACGACCACATCATAGGGTTACTAGAAGGAGAAAGGGAAGAGCAAGGATTTGAGAACCTAGTTGAAGAAATAATGGCTGAAAATTTCCCTAACCTGGTAAGGAAAAAAGACACACAAGTCCAGGAAGCACAGAGTCCCAAACAAGATTAACCCAAAGAGGCCCACACCAAGACATATCATAATTAAAATGGCAAATGCTAAAGACAAAGAGAGAATCTTAAAAGCAGCAAAAGAAAAAACAGTTGCCTAAAAGTGAGCTCCCATTAGAGTGTCATCTAATTACTCAACAGAAACATTTCAAGCCAGAAGGGATTGTCATGAAATATTTAAAGTAACGAAAGTCAGGGACCTACAATCAAGACTACTTTACTCAGCAAGGCTATCATTTAAAATTAAAGGAGAAATAAAGTGTATTTCAGATAAGACAAACTTAAAAGAGTTCATTACCACTTAACCAGTATTACAAGAAGGGTTAAGGATTTTCTTTAAAAAGAAGAAGAAAAAAAAAACCACACAGAGGAACATAGTGATAAAGAATAAAATGTCGGTGTTCTGCATCCAGCGGCGGTGGCACCCGCCGGGACCCCGACCCTCCACCCCCGGACTCGACTGGCAGCGCAGCCCCCCCAGCCTCGTACTGTTGTCGGAAGCGAGAGCCTGTGCTTAAGTGACTAATAAAGGTACCGAAAGAATATGGCTGCACAAATTCCAGAATCTGATCAGATAAAACAGTTTAAAGAATTTCTTGGAACCTACAATAAACTTACAGAAACCTGCTTTTTGGACTGTGTTAAAGACTTCACAACAAGAGAAGTAAAACCTGAAGAGACCACCTGTTCAGAACATTGCTTACAGAAATATTTAAAAATGACGCAAAGAATATCCATAAGATTTCAGGAATATCATATTCAGCAGAATGAAGCCCTGGCAGCCAAAGCAGGACTCCTTGGCCAGCCACGATAGAGACGTCCTGAGGGGTGGACTTTCCCTGAAAGGTTGCCAATAGCTTTGCACTGGAAGTGAGGATTCATCTGATAGAATCCCCTGAAAGCAGTAGCCACCATGTTAACCATCTGTCATGACTGGCAAATGGAAACCACTGGAGAAACAAAATTGCTATTTACCAGGGATAATCAAAATAGAAGGTCTTACTGTCCAATCAAAATGTAAGATGCAACATTTGTTGAGGCCTTATGATTCAGGAGCTTAGTCACTTGATTAGAAAAATAAACCATTATTTCTTCAATAGTGACTATTAATTTTAAAGCAAAATCATGAATGAGATAGAAACAATTTTTATTTCTAAAAGTTAAATAAATGGAAATATCACTGAAAAAAAAAAAAGAATAAAATGTCATCCTGGCAAGTGAGCATCGTCCTGAGCACCAAAGGGGGTGGGTTTGATTCCTGGCCAGGGCACATACCCAAGTTATGGATTCAATCTCGGTCAGGGTGCGTATGGAAGGCAATCGGTCAATGTTTCTCTCTCATATCAATGTTTCTCTCGCTCTCTCTTTCCCCATCTCTCTCTGGAATCAATGAAAAAACCATATTCTTGAGTGAGGATTTAAAAGAGGAGAAAAAGAATAAAGTGGCAATAAATACATAACTTTAATAATAACTTTAAATGTAAGTGGCTTAAATGCTCCAATCAAAAGAAAGGGTACTGAATGAATAAGAAAACAAGACTTATATAGATGCTGTCTAAAAGAGACCCATCTCAGAATGAAAGACACACACAGGCTAAAAGTAAAGGGATGATAAAATATATTTCTTGAAAATGGAAATTTTAAAACAGCTGGGGTAACAATACATATATCAGACAAAATAGACTTTAAAACACAGGCTACAATAAAAGACAAAGAAGATCACTACACAGTGATAATGGGATCAGTCAAATAAGAGGCTATAACCCTTGTACTAGTAACATGTATGAATCCAGTATAGGAGCATCTAAACATACCAGGCAAATCTTGATGGACATAAAGGGAGAGATCAGTAGTAATACTGTAATAACAGGGGATTTTAACACCCCATTGACATTAATGGATTGATCTTCCAGACATAAAAATCAGCAAGAAAACAGCAACCTTAAATGACAGACTTGATCAGATGGATTTAATTGATATCTTCAGAGCATTTCACACCAAAGAGGCAGAGCATACATTTTTTTTTCAAGGTCACATGGAATATTTTTTAGAATAGATCACGTTAGGATATAAAACAAGCCACTGTAGATTTAAGAAGATTAAAATCATAGCAAGCACTTTCTCTCACCTTAATTGTTTGTGTTTTTTTTATCTAATCACATTTTATTTTATTTTTAATAATTCCTTATTGTTGAAAGTATTACATATGTCTCCTTTCCTCCCCTCCCTTTGGCCCCCTCCAGCCCACCTCTGCACCCTGCCCCAGGCCCTCACTTGCCCTATGGATAGTGTCCATGGGCCATAATATATGCATACCAGGTCCTCGCTTGATTACCTGTCACCCACCCACCCTTCCCCGCCTTCCCTCCAAGAATCTGCACTCTATTCCATGCTTTCATGTCTCTGGATCCACTCTGTTCATTAGTTTATTTTTTTACTTAGATTCTGTATATGAGTGAGATCATGTAATACTTGTCTTTTTCTAACTGACTTATTTCACTTAGCATGATACTCTCTAGGTCCCTCCATGCTGTCTCAAAGGGTAAGAGATTCTTCTTTTTTACTGCTGCATAGCATTCTATGGTATAAATGTACCACAGCTTTTTTATCCAAGTATCTACTGATGAGCACTTGGGCTGTTTCCAGATCTTAGTTATTGCAAATTATGCTGGTATGAATATAGAGGTGCATACCTTCTTTCTGATTGATATTTTGGGTTTCTTAGAATACATTCCTAGAAGTGGGATCAATGGATCAAATGGTAGTTCTATATTTAATTTTTTGAGGAAACTCCGTACTGTTTTCCATAATGGCTGCACCAGTCTGCATTCCCACCAGCAGTGTAGTAGGGTTTCCCTATCTCCACATCCTCACCAGCATTGTCATTTGTTGATGATAGCCATTCTGACAGGTGTGAGGTGATACCTCATTGTCATTTTAATTTTCATCTCTCTGATGATCAGTGACTTTGAGCATTTTTTTCATGTCTCTTGGCCATCTGTATGCCACCGTTGGAGAAGTGTCTATATAGGTCCTTTGCCCATTTTTTAATTGGATTGTTTGTCTTCTTTTTGTTAACTTTATGAGTTCTTTATATATTTTGGATATTAACCCTTTATCAGATGTATCATTGCCAAATATATTCTCCCATACAGTGGGCTCCCTTTTTGTTTTGTTCATGGTTTCTTTTGCTGTGCAGAAGCTTTTTACTTTGATGTGGTCCCATTTGTTTATTTTCTCCTTAGTTTTCTTTGCCCTAGCAGATGAATCCATAAACATACTGCTACAAGAGATGTCTGAGATTTTGCTGTCTGTGGTTTCTTCTAGGATTTTTATGGTTTCATGACTTACATTTAAGCCTTTTATCCATTTTTGAGTTTATTCTTGTGTATGGTATAAGTTGGTGGCCTAGTTTCATTTTTTTGCATGTATCTGTCTGACCTTAATTGTTTAAAAGTAGAAATCAATCACAAGAAAAAAAAACTGAAAAACACACAAAGATGTGGAGGCTAAATAAAATGCTATTAAACAATGAGTGGGTTCACAATGAGATCAAGGAACAAATCAAAAGTTATCTTGAAACAAATGAAGATGAGAACACAATAACCCAGAATTTATAGGATACATCAAAAGCAGGCCTTAGAGGAAAATTGATAGCAACACAGACCTACCTCAAGAAACAAGAAAAATCTCAAAAACAATCTAACTATTCACTTAAAAATATCAGTAAAAGAACAACAAACAAAGCTTAAAGTGAGTAGAAGAAAGCAAATAAAGATCACAGCAGAAATAAACAAAATAGCATCTAAAAAACAATTACAGAGATCAATGAAACCAAGAGCTGTTTCTTTGAAAAGCTAAATAAGATTGAAAAACTTTTAACCAGACTCACTGAGGAAAAAAGAAAGAGGAACCAAATAAATAAAATCAGAAATGGAAGAGAAGAAGTAATAACTGACACCATAGAAATACAAAGTATTATAAGAAAATATTACAAACACCTCTATGCCTATAAATTGGATAATCTGGATGAGATGGGAAACTTTCTAGAAACATACCATCTTCCAAAACTGAATCAAGAAGAAACAGAAAATTTGAACAGACTGATTATAACTAATAAAATTAAAACACTAATTAAAAAAAAAACTACCAGCAAACAAAAGACCTGGACCAGATGGCTTCCCAGGTGAATTTTACCAGACATTCAAAGAAAAACTAACATTTATTCTTCTCAAAAGATTTCAAAATAGTTAAGGGGAGGAAAGACTCTGAAATTCATAATTTCAAAACCAGATAGAAAGAAAATTATAGGCCAATAACCCTGATAAACAGAGATACTAAAATTCTCAACAAAATATTAGCAAACTGGATCCAGCAATACATTAAAATGATCATAGATCCTAGTCAGGTACCTCAGTTGGTTAGAGCATTGTCCTGATATTTTTAGGTTGTAGGTTTGATCCCTGGTCAGAGCACACACAAGAAGCAACCAATGAATGCAAAATAAGTAGAATAACAAATTGATCTCTCTCTCTCTCTCTCTCTCTCTCTCTCTCAAAATCAATTACAATTTTTAATTAAAAAATAAAAATAGCCCTAACCAGTTTGGCTCGGTGGATAGAGCATCGGCCTGTGGACTGAAGGGTCCCAGGTTCGATTCCAGTCAAGGGCATGTACCTTGGTTGCGGGCATATCCCCAGTAGGGGGTGTGCAGGAGGCAGTTGATTGATGTTTTTCTCTCATCGATGTTTCTAACTCTCTACCTCTCTCCCTTCCTCTCTGTAAAAAATCAATAAAATATATTTAATAAATAAATAAATAAATAAAAATGAAAAGATCAGACACCACAATCAAGTGGGATTTATTTAGAAGATGCAAGGTTGGTACAATATTCATAAATCAATAAACATGATACAGCACATAAACAAAGTGAAGGATAAAAATCACATACATCAATAGATGCAGAAAAAGCATTTGATAAAATCCACCTCCCATTTATGATAAAAACTCTCAGCAAAGTGGGAATAGAGGAAATTCACCTCAACATAATTAAGGCATATGTGACAAACCCACATCCAACATCATACTCAATGGGCAAAAAGTAAAAGTGTTTCTCTTAAGATCAGAAACAAGACAGGGATGTCCACTTTCACCACCCTTATTCAACACAGTAATGGAAGACATAGAAATAGTAATCAGACAAGAAGAAGAAATAAAAGGCATCCAAATTGGAAAAGAACAACTAAAATGCAGTTGCAATTATTTGAAGACAATAGGCTATTGTATGTAGAAAACCCTAAAGATTCCACCAAAAAACCACTAGAACTGATAAATGTATTCAGTAAAGTAGCAGGATACAAAATATATACCCAGAAATAAGTTGCAGTTTTATACACCAACAATAAACTATCAGAAAGGGAAACTAAGAAAACAATCTTATATAGAATTGCATCAAAAATAAAAATAAAATACCTAGGAATAAATTTAATCAAAGATGTAAAAGACCTGTACTCAGGAAATTATAAGACACTGAAGAAAGAAATTGAAGAAGACACAAATAAGTCAAAGTATGTATCATGTTCATGCATAGAAAAAATCAGCATTACTAAAATGTCCATACTATGCAAAACAACCTATAGATTCAACACAATTCCTATTAAAATATCAATGGCATATCTCAACGAACTAGAACAAATATTCAAAAAATGTATATAGAATCACAAAAGATCCCGTATAGCCATAGCAATCATGAGAAAGAAGAATGAAGTTGGAGGAATCACGCAACCTGATATCAAAGTATATTACAAGGCCATAGTAATCAAAACAGCATGGTACTAGAATAAAAACAGCCATATATATCAATGGAACATAATAGAGAGCCAGAAATAAACCCACACCTATATGGTCAATTAATATTTGACAAATGAGGCAAGAACATACAATGGAGTAAAGATAGTCTATTCAATTAATGGTGTTGGGTGAATTGGACAGATTTGTGCAAAAAATCAAAATGAAACTAGACCATCTCACAACACCATACACAACAATAAACTCAATATGGGTTAAAGACTTAAAATGTTAGCCTTGAAACCATAAAAATCCTAAAAGAAAGCATAGGCAGTAAAATCTTGGACATTTCTCTCAGTAATATTATTTTTTTAACATCTCTTCTCTGGCACA